GCTCGCCAGCCCTCCCTCCTTTCTGTGCACCTTGCGGTAGGCAGAGCGCGGTGGTGGCGGCGGCAGCCGGGGGCTCTGCTCAGGGAGGCGGACCTAGGGACCGCAGACGGGCGGACAGACGGAGGGACCGTCCCCGAGCCCCGCACCATGGCCGAGAGGAAGCAGTCCGGGAAGGCGGCAGAGGACGAAGAGGTCCCTGCCTTTTTTAAGAACCTGGGTTCAGGAAGCCCCAAGCCCCGGCAGAAATTCTGTGGCATGTTCTGCCCGGTGGAAGGGTCTTCGGAGAACAAGACCATCGACTTCGACTCGCTGTCGGTGGGCAGGGGCTCGGGGCAGGTGGTGGCTCAGCAGCGGGACGTCGCCCACTTGGGCCCGGACCCGCAGCCGCCGTACTCCCGGCAGGGCCGGCGTGCCGGCGGGGAGCCATCTGTTGAATCGGGCCGGAAGGTGGCGATCCGGCGGGCCTCGGGCAAGGAAGCCCTGCAGAACGTCTACGACCAGGTGGGTATGGGGGAGGGGAGGCCGGAGAAGGAGGACGGGGCTCGGGGATCGCCCCTCCCTCGCATCCCAGAGTGCCCACCGTCCTGCCCCTCCCCGGATCTGTGCCAGCACCCCACCCTACTCTACCCTTCTCGAAGGGTGCGGAGAGGCTCCGGCTGGGCGGTGGGCGATGCGCCCACAAAGGCTGCCAGTGCTTATCTGGGTCTGGGAGGTGGAGGGGGGAAGGATGGGCCGATCCTCGGCTGGGGGATCGCAGGGTGGGGTGCGGGGATGGGCGGCGGTTCCATTCTTCTTAAACCCTCCCGGGCGGCTCCCTACTGCAGCGGTGGCCTGGTGTCCCACCCTTTTTCGATGCAGCTCGGAGCGTGCGGTGGAGGCTTCGGGTAAAGGCTTGGGCTTCCCAGGGGCCGGGAGGGGCGGGCGGGGGCTCAGACCGCTGCTCCCGCCCGCGCCCAGCGCGCTCTCCACCGCACCGTCTCGCGCTCGCGTCCGGAGCTGGAGGCCAGGACCATGGTCAGCGGCTCCCGCACCGCCTCGGAGAATCTCGTCACCCTGATTCCTGTTTGCAAAGTGAGAAGAACCAGGGAGGCGATGGAGTCACCCGAGGAAACCCTGACGCTCCTAAATAGCCCATATGCAGAGCAAAGTTCCGCTAAGTCTCTCAGCAAGGGCTTCCCAGAGCCTCCCCCACCCCCGCCCGCCCTATTTAGGAGGCGCTTTGCAGATAGGGACTAAGTAGATTATGTTCAAAGGGTGAAAAGAAAAGGGAAAAACACCTTCACATTTTGAATAGATTGTCAAAGATGGATTCGACCCCCTATACTGTGTTAATGGGGAAACAAAGAGAACCAATATAGTAAACCTTGATTTAGAAAATGTTTGTCACCTCTGGCAAAAATGAACAGTTTGTATTTTAAGTGAAGTCATCTTCTCACACCAGTTTTTTTTTTATCAGTGTGACCCTCATACTTGTGCAGCCCCCCCCCCACACATACACACAAACCGTAATTTCTCAACTGATGAATTACAGTGTGAAATGTTTTAACACTTGTTTGCTGTTTCTCTCCCAGGCCCATTGGTGAAGACGAGAAATGAGTCAATGATTGATTATTTATTGAATATCTATTATGTACCTTGCCTTGTGGGGCTGGGGGAAGGTTAGCTATATAAAAAGTTCAAGGCAATTTTTTCCTAAAGGCTTCTAAGTAGTTGGGGGTGGTGTCTACATATTCACTGAGTGATTCCAGTCATTTCTTTGGCTCAACATTCAGGGTGTGTGCTGACAATGAACACATCAGAAGACAATTAACAGTTGGTGATAATGGCCCAAATATGTTACTGTTTCCTGATGTAGCATGGAGTGTGGCAGCCCTTCACTTTTATTATAGTCTGAGTGCATAATGTTGCATTTGAAATTCTACAACTATATTGAATTTTTTGCAATTTAGTAAAACAACATGTACCCAACTTTAATGAGTACTTTCACATTTAAATACTGTCAAAGTTAGAGAATGTTATTTAAATTATTATCTGCTCCTTTAAATTTTTTTTTAGCTCTTCACTTTTATAGGGCCAATTCTAGAAAAGAGAAACCATTTGCTGTCATTTTAAAAAGATAGGGCAACTAATTACTTAATTGATTCCTCTTTCCACAGCCCTGTCCTCTGATCTACTCCTATAGGGGAGTACTTGATATCCGTATTTCACTGTGAGTCAACCAGAAGAACTTAATCCAAAAAACTCACTTTTTACCAAGTCATTACACAAACTTTGACAATTGAAGTAAAGTTTTTCTTAAAAAAAAAGATATTGATTTTGTGTGTGTGTCTGAGAGAGAGAGAGAGAGAAAGAAACATCAATAGGAGCAAAACATTGATTGCCTCCTGCACGCCCCCTACTGGAGATCAGCCCACAATCTGGGCATGTGCTCTGACTGGGAATCAACCTGAAACCTTTTGGTGAATGAGACAACACTCAACCAACTGACCACACCAGCCAGGGCTGAAGTAAAGTTTCTAATAGTGAAAGCTGAGTGAATGTGAAATACTTCCCTATGTGAATACAATGGGTGGGGGCAAACCATGATTATATAGCATCATGGTTATGTGAGTATTCTTGCCTTCAACACATTGTGCTTGCTGGTGATCCTAATGACCTAAAGAGAGGAGAAAAATGCCTTGAGATAAGGAAGAGATCTTTTTTTTTTTTTTTTTTTTTTAAATAGCAGTTCAGGGGATGGAGATTAAAAGTGGCCATCTTGATAATGATGTCAGTGAATTAAAATTAAATTTTGAAAGGCAAAGTTTCACTGGGTTGAATAACATCTCTTGTTCTGTTCATTTAGAATCTTAGATATTTGATCATCAGAGCTACGAGTCTGAACACACTCCAAATTTAACTGAAGTTCTAAATTGTAAGCCTAGGGTATATGAGAGAGATTTGAAGAGGAAATACCCAGCCAAAACTCCAGGCAGTTTTAGCCTCTGCAAACCCACATTTGTACCAGAGGGTGATTCTGGCTTGGTCTTCTGCAGCCTTCCCTGAATTTTATTTTATTTTTTTAATTTTCATTTTCAATCTTGCCTTATCACGTAAGGGTTGTTCCTATGGGATTTGTTTCATTCATGACCGAGAGTATTTACCAGGATCAGTACTTACAGTGTTTGAATATTTCACGTTTATACAAGAGAACAAAGGTGTGTGTGTGAGGTGTGTGTGTGTGTGTGTGTGTGTGTGTGTGTGTGTGTATGGTGATTTCCAAAAGTGCAGTTTGACCCGCCATTTTGACTGAACAAGTGGCCATTACTTAGTTTTCAGCTAATGAGCAGGGTGATGGCCAGCACCGCAGTGCATGCCTATCTGGAGCCCTAGCACAGAGAAGTGGGGAACTGAGCAAGTGGATTGAGGCCCCGATTCACCCCCCTCCTCCTCCCTGAATCTTTGTTTGTGGGTGTTCTTAATGCCTGGTCACAGAAATGGCTTTGTCCACCTGTTGCACTAGGGGTTCTATTCCTTTGGGAAGGGAGGGAACAGGCTTCCTTAGCCCAGATGGCTCGTGGGAGACCAGGAAAAGTGTCTGAGCTTGCATTTGCAGGTGTCAGCAGGTCAGCACTAGGAAGCACTGGGCGTGGCTTGGGCTGGGCTGCTAGGTTTTGGTGAAGGGCGAGGACCAGTGTTGTGAATGCAAATAAGAGAAGCTTCTATCTCATTACTGTCTTTTTTCTTTTTGTCCTTGGGGAATCCACCTTGGGCTACAGTGAGGTTAGGTTGATGACCATCTGTGAAGGACTCGAGCCCCTTGGGACAGAGAGCAGAAGGTCAGCACTGCTGGCCAAATCTCCCTTGCCAGTGCCCTGGGGTCCCTCAGCCTCCTCCCTTCCTCTTAGGAATTCCCTCCATTGCATCACACAGCTTAGCCAGGACCAGCTATTCCACCAAGGAAATTAGATCATGAGCATCCTGTCCAAAGGAGCTCCCAGGCTCTTCTCCCAGCAGCAAACAACCTGCGTAGACTAGAGTAGCAGGGGAGTGATTCTCCACTTTCCAGGGCAGGTGCCAGTCTGTGAACTACACAAGAGTGCTGCTGAACTTGACAAAATCACCAGCTCTGTAAAATGCTTTCTTATATTCCTTTCCATTCTGTGTCCCCATCCCCTCTCCCCATATTATCTCCCAACACTGGCTGCCCGGTGACTCTGCTGCCCTCTTACTGTTCAATGCTACCCCTACCCCACCCAGATCGTGATGCTTTTTCTAGATCCTTCTTCCTCCCAAAGCAACAAATTCTGAAATCACTTCCTTCCCCTTTGCCTTCCTCTCTCTCATTCAAAATTCCTGCCCTGTGTTAATCTTAGCTAGGGAGAAATCCCAGTGATTGAAGGCATCCATACCTTCTGTGAATGACTGTTTCACAAGTTGTCCCTAGAGATGCTTGTTTGATAGTAGGCTAGCACTAGCCTGTCCAACAAAAAGAACGTCTACTTAGCACAATGTGTGGTAGAGACTTGGCTGGGAGCCTAGAACAAGAGTATTGATTTGATACTTTAGAGGGCACATTGTTTCAAAAGAGGAGGTGCAAATGTGAACATGTATGTGCTCAGGACCCCCCCAAAACTATGACCCATCTGGGTTCAAAGGGAGAGGGATGCTTGGGAGGAGAAGGAAATGGTGATAATGGATAATTATTGGTTGCTCTTGATTTCCCAAATGATTATTGAAGTAATCAGATAATTAGTTAAAAAACTCTATATGTGGTGACATACACATAACATAAAATTTAGCATCTTAATCATTTTTAAGTGTACAGGTGAGTGGTGTGAAATATATTCATATTGACGTGCAACCCATCTCCAGAGCTTTTTCATCTTGCAAAACGGAAACTCTTTGCCCATTAAACAACATATTAGTATACACCTCTTCAGGCCATCATTCTACTTTCTGTCTCTATGAATTTGACTAAGTACTGCATATAATTGGAATCACAGTGTTTATCTTTTTGTGACTCGCTTAGTTCACTAGCATAATGCCCTCAATGTTCATCCGTGTAGCATGTGACAGGATTTCATTTTTAAGGCTGAATAATATTCCTATAATTAGTTAAATTTTAATGAGTCATTGATATTGGAAAGTTGTCGCTTGATTAATAGGCCCGCGATGAATTATGGGAGGAAGAAAGAAGGGTTACGTTTGGGATGCAGTAGACCCCACCACCTCCACCTGGGGACTAAGGCTTGAGTAGAAGAAAATCCCACCAGCTGATCATCATTTCCCTTGTAGCTCAGAGGTGGAGAGGATAATTGCTGTCCATGAATTTTGAGTGACAACATCCGGCCGTGACCTCTTGAATGTTGCATAGTTCGTGAGCTCCTGGCCCATGGAAATCTGGACAGGGCCGGGCGTTTTTCTACTTTGGAAAAGACAGCCCGGTATTCCTGTGGACCCTTTGGTGTCAGTGGCACTTTCTACTTCCTTGAGAGAGAAGGGACAGTCAGAACTGGCCA